TTTGGCCAGGCTCAGGGGCTCAGGCCTGTACTCCCAGCACTTTGGGAGGCTGAGGCGGGAGGATCACTTGATCCTCCAGGAGTTTGAGATCCAGGAGTTTGAGACCAGTCTGGCCGACATGGTGAAACCCTGTCTCTACTAAAAATATAAAAATTAGCCAGGTATGGTGGTGCGTGCCTGTAATCCCAGCTACTCAGGAGACTGAGGCAAGGAGAATTGCTTGAACCCAGGGGGCGGAGTTTGCAGTGAGCCGAGATTGCACCACTGCACCCCAGCCTGGGTGATACAGCCAGACTCCGTCTCAAAAAAAGAAAGGAAAGGAAGGGAAGGGGAGGGGAGGGAAAAGGAAAAGTTTATTTGCTTTCCATCTTGCCTGCATTTTGTCCATTCGTCCATCTATTTATTGATCAGGGAAGGCTTTCCTGAAGAGGTGGCATTTGATAAGAGGGCCGAGGGATGAGGAATAGTTAGCTGGTACAAGACAGGGTCTAGGACGGAGCGGGAAGAAGCTTCCAGGCGGAGGGGAGATCATGTGCGAAGGACCAGGGTAGAAGAGAATGAGGCAGAATGGAGGAATTGAAAGAAGGTACAGGAAGCAGTACCAGGAATTGAGGGAGGCATAGTGTGAGTTGCAGTTTTGAAGAGTTGGCTGGGACCAAATTATGCAGGGTCTGTAGGCCATGTAAGGGCAATGGCCATTGTCCTGAAAATAATGGGAAATCATGGCAAGGTGACAGCAGGACATAGACAGGACCAAATGTGGGTCTGAAAATGTTACTCTGGTGTGTGAAGCGCAGACAGGCATGAGCAGGCTTGGCTTCATAGATGCGCAAGTCATGTAAGAGAACTGCACTCCGGGCCCAAAGCTCTGAGACTGCCATCTTGGAATTCTTCACCATATTATTTTTGAATTTGCGTTTCTTAAGTACCGTCTGGTGGGACAATGCAGCACACATCAAGGGCTTGGAGCCTTGGCTCCTGTGGTCCTGCCTTTGACTGCTTCCCCTGGACTGGTTCTCAGTCTCCCTCTCCACTTCTGCCTAGCAACCACTGCCACCCTCTGCCCCCAGCAGAGATCTGAGTGCAGGCGTGGGGAGAGTCAGGGTCAAGGGCTCACCTGGTAGCATCTGAGGATTGGCCATGGCAGTGTGGCCCCTGCCCCAGGCTGGCAACACCATGGTAAGTTCAGCGGGTGACTTGGGGCTAAGCTTCTCACTCACTCTGACCCAGGTCCCTAGTGCATCCAGGCCTGGACTTTGCAGCACCCCTAAGGACTGCCTGTCCACTGTGGGCTGGGGAGGCAGGTCTGTGGGAAATGGCAATGCCTGGCTTGCCTTCCCCAACCCCAGCTAGGGAACCAGAACGCAGGTCAGCATGGTGGCTGGCAGGAGGAGAACTCCAGCAACTGGTGAATTTCACACAGAACTGAGTCAAGGCAGAGGGTGGGGCGGGGTGGGTTGTCCCCATGCCCAAGGGAGTGTCAAGTTGAATAGCAAATCAAAAACACCATTCCAGGTTGAGAAACAAGTTTTATATATTAGTACCTTTAATGGCAATTTTGTCCCTGCTTTCTAAGAGGTCTCACATTTGTATTTTGCACTGGCCCCACAAATTATGTAGCTGCACAGGCGGTGAAATTGGTGGAGGTCCGGTAAATATTGATCCTTTTTCTGTGACAGCTGGTGCTACTGGTTTTGATGTTTATGTGACTCTGGACGAAGTGGCTTCAGGAGCTGAGTCCTGCCTGTCATTTTATGACAATAAATGTCATAGAAACTGATTTTTCATTTTATTCTCAATCCTTAGAGCTATTGCTTCTTGATTTCTTCAAGCAGATGTGTTCAAATACCAAGCAAAACAGGCAGGGGCTCTGCCTGGGAGGGGGATCCCCCACAGCTCAGCCGGCCGGAGGCACAGCCGCTCAGACCTCAAGGCAAATTATGTTTTGAAGCAGCTGGAACCGTCACTAAAAAGTGGTGATTTTCAGGACTGGATTCCTCTCCCCAGGGGCCTGGGCCTGGGTGTGGGTGGGGCTGGTGTGAAGTAGGGCCCTCCCCAGGGCAGTATTCATTTTTGAGGGGCCTCAGTCTTGCTCCTCCGCCTCCCTGACATCCCACCAATCCAGCCAAGTCCCATCCACCTGCCCCAACCAGACCTCATTCCTGTCTGAGTCATCACAGTGTCTTCTGGTCTCACCGGCTCTGAGCCATTCCTAATGGAGAAAGAACTTCCTGGAACCTGACTGTCAGTTTCCAGGCCCCTCAGGGCAAAAACCAAGTCTGCTTCCCCTTGAGGCCAGGGTCCCAGCGGAACCCTGCAGGAGTTGCTGTGCCTGCTTGTGTACCCAGTGGTGCTGTGTGCCTGGGCTGAGAAGGTTGTGGTGACCATGTGGTTGGCTTTCAGCATCCACAGCTGCCCATTCCCAAGGCCAACCACAGGGAAGTATGAGCATGTGCCCCACTTTAGGCCAAGGAGACACAGGGTAAGGTCTCCTGGGGGGCAGGGCAGAAGGGAGGGTGCAGGGGCTTTGGAAAAAAGGAGACACTGGGGCAGGTGTCCTTTTCTTTCTCTGCTTGTGGCTGTGTCTGGAGTTGTAGACTAGAGCTGCTGTAGCTCCTTGGCCTCCAGCCCAAGGAGGAAGATCGTAAATGCAGGAGAAACTCAGAGACTGAGCTGAAGCCTGGCGTACCACAGCTGGAGGCTGCGCTGCCTCTGGCCCCCTTGTGTGGGTGACAGCACACGTCATCTGTGTCAGACCCTCCGGTTTATGCTCCTTGCAGCCAAAAACATCCTCAACTGATGCAAATAACACAGCCACTGCAGAACAGCATGTGCTAAAGGCTGGCTTCTCACCCCAATAGCGCCATCAGCCGAGTGGCTTCCCTAGACGGTTTTTCCATCTACGGACTTGGGTGAGAGGGTCTCGAGGCAGAGCTGGAGCAAGGAACAATGAAACCCTTTTTAAATAGAGGGCTGTTGGTAAAAGTCAACTGTGGAAGTTAAGAGGGTGTACTTTGGCATCAGACACATCTAGGACAGAAGCCCAGCCCTCCGCTTACTGGCTGTTACTTGGGTGCGTTACTTACACTCTTTTATCACTGGTTTGCTCATCTGTAAAGTGGGATAATGACAGCGTAAGTGAGGCGGTCCGTGTGAAAAGCGGAATGACGTACCCGGCGCTGGGTACTCCAAAGCCAAACTGGCGGTCTCCTCACCCAGCCTGGGGAGCTGCAACAGGTAAGGGGGGAGGGGAGGAGAGGAGGAGCTGCAGTCTCTCCAGAGGTTTCCCCCATCACTTCCTTCCAGCCCATCACCAGCATGGCCCTGCATCTGGGGCTGCCCTGCCTGGACAAGTGCGGTTGGGAAAGGAAGGCCTCATGTGTGGGAGCCTTGAGGTTGGCTTGGAGGGGTGGTAGGATTTGCCCAGGTGAGGAAGATCAAGGAAGGCAAGCCAGGAGGGAGGCTGGGAACAGAGCAGGTAGGAGTGGGAAGGGTGCCTCTGGGGAGAAGGAAGCGGCCTGGCTGGAGCGGAATTCTGTGGGAGGTGATGGGAAGGACACCTGGAGAGGAAGGGCAGGGAGCCCAGCTCTGAAATGTTCTGCCAATAAGAGGGCAGGAGCCTTCTTTTAACTCGGGTCCCTAGTCTGCTCCAGACGGAGAGGCATCATCCATTGGGTGGATGGAGACAGTGAGCTCAGGGAGGCTGAGCCAGTGCTCTCAGAGGAGGTGGTGCCATTGGAAGGGGAGGGGCAGCCTGCCTCACTCTATGGCCCACAAAATTCAAGGGGATTTTTACACTATTAGTTGTCTTCAGCTACAAGTAACAAAAACCCTGACTGGGCAGCCTTAAGGTTAAAGGTGTTTATTAGCTCAAGTCCAAGGTTTCTGGAGATGAGGGCCTTCTGGGGGCAGTCCCTTCACTCTGCAGTTCTCGTGGAAGTGTTTCCTCTTGGGTGGCTATTTCAGAGCCTGGGTGTGCCCCCCTCTCTAAACCCTGGGCGTGCATAATGGGCACTTGTGAGCTCAGCTATTTCATCTGCAGCCGCTCTCATCTGTCTTATCACCCCGTCAGCTGTAAGGCAGACATCAGTGAGAGTGGTAATTTGTGGACAATCCCTGACTCACCCGGGGCCTTCTGCTGAGCAGGCAAGGCCTGGCGCCTCAGGACTCAGGGCTCGGCTGGGATCTGGCCCAGGGCTCCTCCTAAGGTGGTCCAGCACACACAGTGCCCCCAGCAACTGCCCGCCAAACTGGAGATTCCAGAAATGTTCTTGACACCGTCTCCTTTCCAAAGACTGGGGGTGGCAGATGGGGAAACTGAGGCTCCGTGAGTTGGAGGGTCTTTTAAGGTCCCTCAGCCCCTGAAGGGTAGGGTCAAAACTAAACAAAAACTAGGTCTCAGCCTGGGTCTCCAAACACCCCACATTCTGTGCCTTGATAATCCTGTTTCTCTCTCCATCCCTTCCCATTCACTGAGCCTGAAGACTCCATCTTCAGAGGAGGGCTCTCTGCTCCAAAGGGCATCTAATCTGGAGTCGTGCGGTGGTGGCAGTGGGGGGCGGGGCAGTGCTGGGCTTGAGGCTGTTCTCCCTCATATGCTGTCTCTCACCTCGTCTCTGTGTGTTCACAGCCCCCAGAGCACAGCTGTGTCTGCCTCCAGACCGTGAGCTCCTTGAGGGCAGGACCTGGTCCCACCGGAGCAGCCAGGTTCTGAGGAACGTCCTAGGCCTGGGTGAGCCCCTCCGGAATGGCTTAGGGGTGAGGGGTGGAGTCTAGTGTCTCTGGGCCCAGCCTGGAGGAGTGCTGGGCTGGAGGGTGACACACCTGGGGCTCCTGGGCCCCTCCTGGCCACACTGTCAGTGGGCCTCAAGCTCCCTTAGCGCATGGCCTCTGGAATAAAATGAGCCCGCGCCTCGGAAGGGGGCAGGAAGAGGCAGGAGTAGGGTGGCAGGTGGCAGGCGGGGCTGCACAGGGGAGAGCCACAGCTCCACTTCCTGTGGGCGACGGCCCGTGCCTGCCCCCGGGGGAGGTTGCACAAACCTTACTGCGTAGGTCGGGCTGCCTGCCCGCCTGGCCTGTGCTCCAGCCTGCCTCTTCCACTGGCCACTGCCTCCCCCCCGGGGCTGGCATCCCTGCTCCCTGCCCTGGGTCCCAGACTGTGTCCTCCATCTCCGCAGGGTCGGCGAGGGGCTGGGCTGGACACCAGGATCCGCCCTCCCATCACTGAGCTCCGCTCCTTCCTCATTTTGCTGCCGATTCTAGCCCCAAACAAAACAGGTTGAGCCTTTTTCCTCCCCTCGGCAGCTCCTCCTGGCTCGTGGCTGCCTTCTGAGTGCTGCAGACGGCGCCGGCCGGGAAGGGGGGCCTGGGCCAGCCCTGCCAGGACTGGGACGGTGCTCCTGGCGTACGGCCCTCCATCAGGCCAGCCTGTGGCAGGAGAGCGAGCTTTGCCGTGGCAGACGCCTGAGAATGATGCCCCAGCTGCAGTTCAAAGATGCCTTTTGGGTAAGTGAGGATGGCTGGGGGCACTGGACAAGTGGAGCGGGCAGAGCGAGGCTGAAATCTCCGTGGGGCCACGGAATGCGGCTCCAAGAGGGCAGCTTTCTCATCAAATAGTGGTTGATTCTTGGTCTTAATCGTTGCGGAGGCGGCCCGGGGCCCCCACCCTCTCTGGGTTGGAAGGCAAACGGACTCCGTGAGTGAGGGGCCTCCTCTCTGCTGCCCCAGCTGTTTTCTCCTCTGAAAGACCTCTCCCCACAGCAGGAGCCCCTTAGGAGAGGCTAACACTTGGGTGCGGGTTTGAAGAGCATGTGTGGGGTAGCAAAGGAGGGGATGCAGATTTAGGGACCAGAGAAACTTGGGTTCAGGTCTTGGCTCTGTTACTTAAGGGCTGGGTGAGACATTTCTTTTTCTGAGCCTCAGTCTCTCCATCTATATAATGGGGATAGATATCAACACATCAACTAAAGCATTGGATCAAGCAAGGGGACCAATTGGACACGCTAAAGCCCCCCAGCACCTTGCCTCACTCCAAATGGTAATTCTTGTCCCCTCATCCAGCCCCTTGTCCCTTGCAGACCTTAGGGGTCCTTCCAGGAGGCACCCAGGCGGGAATTGCTTGCTTACTTTCTTAAATTCAACACGGGCTTACATCTAGTCATTTCCCCATGAAATAAGGGCGCCCAGCCTGTGGTAGAGGTGAAGTGGCTTGGCCCAGGCGGCGTAGCCTGAAGCCCAGCTTGGAGTCCCAGATCATCTCAGCAATTTTCCAGCTGTCCTTCAACCACCCCTCTGCCCCTCAGCTCTGTCTGTGCCCAGGGCTCTGGGGAAAAGCTGAGACCTCTTGGAGCTGGGGAATATGGGTGTCCTGGGGTGCTGCTGCCAACCCTGACGAGGACCCTCTGGCCCTCGGCTTAGCCTGCTGAGCCCCGGCCAACAACCTGGCCCTCCCCGGGCCCTTTCCTGGGGCTGCGGCCAGGAGGATGAGAGCTGCAGAGCCAGGCCTTCCTTCCCTTCCGGCCAGTTCCACTTGGGGCCTGTGGCCAGCGTGTGAGCGTTCTGCTTCCTCTCCACTGACTGCACAGTAGGCAAAGGACTCCCCGTGGGGAGGGCGCCTTGTGCCTTTCTGGGCTTTGGCTTCCCCATCTCTAAAGAGAGGGTGGGCCAGCCCAGAGAAGCCAATGGAAGCAGAGCTGCCTCAGCCCATCCGGAGGACCAGGCACCAGGATGCCCACGGCCCAAGCTGGCAGCCGCAGCCCTGGCGGGAGGGAGGTGAGGTCACCACATCGCTGCCCTGCCTTGGTGTGCAAAGTTGGGGGAAGGGGTAGGTGGAAACCCAGGCCACTCTGTAGCCCTAGGCAGTCCAGGACCCCCTGACTATTTTAACACTGAGTCCTCTGTCCAGGCCCAGAGCCCCTGGGCCTGCCTTCCCTAGGGCAGAGCTGGGCAAGGAGCAGGCTCAATGGCAGGGTCTGGCACAGATAGGGGTGGCATATAATGGAGCAGGGTGTGGCGACAGCACAGAAGCAAGTAACCAGCCCCTGTGGAGCTTCCTGGGCGGCATCCTGCCTACACTCTGCGCTCATCACACCTCTGGGCTTCCTGGCTTCCAACTGCTTGCCCTCCTCTGTGGCTGGCTCCCTGGGTCTGGGGCAGGCCGACAGTTTCCCTAGGGAAGGCCACAGCAGGAAGGGGTGAGAAGTAGCCAGTGGGAACCTCTCACACTGAGTCTGGGCGGACACCCTGAAAGGTCATTGTAGGCACCACCTGGCCCAGGGCTCTGGATGCAAACACCTCCTGGTGCTCAGCCCATCCCAGTGCACACAACAACTAACATTTGCTGAGCATGAAGGATGTGCCAGGCGCTGTTCTCAAGATGTCTGCATAGTCACCCATTCAATCCTCAAAACAGATGCTACTGTTATCTCTTCCATTCAGATGAGGAAACTGAGGCACAGAGACAATCAGAGACTGGCACAAGGTCACACAGCTGGAATTAAACCCCTGGCAGGTGGGCTCCAGAGCCTGTGTGGTTGCAGGATCCCTCTCTCTACCTATCACTGAATCTTTTGGCTTCAGGGTAAAGAAGAAATCCTCTTAGCTCCCAGAGGGGTAAGAAGATCAGACAAGGCGGCAAGAACAGTGTTTTGAAGCTCTATTCGCAGACCAATCTGTAAAACAGAAAAGGCACACTACTCTGACTGCAGGGCTTATGTTAGGTACAGCCCAGGAACCTCGGCCCTTGTCCATGCCTGTCCCCACCCCAGCCCAAGGCACTGTCATTAAACGCTGCAGCCTGGCAGCACACTGTTTAGAAATGACTGGTTTTAGGCTGGGCGTGGCGGCTCACGCCTGTAATCCCAGCACTCTGGGAGGCTGAGGCGGGCGGATCACTTCAGGTCAGGAGTTTGAGACCAGCCTGGCCAACATAGTGAAACCTCTACTAAAAATGCAAACATTAGTCAGTCGTGGTGTCAGGCGCCTGTAATCCCAGCTGCTTGGGAGGCTGAGGCAGGAGAATTGCTTGAACCCGGGAGGCAGAGGTTTCAGTGAGCCGAGATCGCACCACTGCATTTTAGTCTGGGTGACAGAGCTGACAGAGTGGAGGGACCCCACTTTGGCTAAACTAGAAAGATTATGTTTGATACCACAGCCCTTCAGTTATCCGGCAACCTCACCCATTCAGAACACCGGTGGGGGAGGGGAGCCAGCCCTGCTGTTTCTGGTTGCAGCTCATAGTAAGAGAGGAAGCAAAAGTGGTTTCTCGGGAGCCAAAGATGATTTCCCTAAGAGCTTTCCTGAAAGCTCATACACTGCACTCCTAGGAGATGTCCCCTAGCATTTACTCAGGGCCTATGAACTCTAATTTCACTCAGTTTTAACAGCTTGGTCACGGGGTCTTTTAGCCTGGAGATGTAGTGATTAGTGGCAGCCTGCACAGCACCTGATCTACAGCTGCTGCTGGACCTGACCTATGAGAGAACGTTTCACAGACAGCTAGTAGCCTGATTGCAAGGAAGGAGACAGAAACAGTCTGAAAAGCAGCTGCTGTGGCACAGGAGGAGTGGGGACACTCCGCGTGGGAGCTGACACAGTCCTGCCCCTCAGTCAGCCTGTTTTTGCAATTTTGTCAGCGTGGCCACATAGTGTTTCTTTATGGCCTGATTTCAGCTGCAGCCGAGCGTTCAGATGCACGCTGCTGTAGGAGTGAGGCAGGGCAGACCAGCCACAGGGGGAGGGAAGGGATAATGTGATTCTGTGATACATGCAGATGATAAAGAGCATCACTCCTTGGCAGGAAGTTTGTGAATGAGCCTCAGAGTGGGACCTGTCAGTGAGACAAGGTTGAGTCTGTGAATACCAGCCGTCTGAGTGGAGAGGGCATTAGACCTCATGTTGTCTGGCCCAGCACTGAGGCTAAGGTGCTGGGAAGCCTAGAAAAGGAACGGTCCTCCCCATTCACCCAGTTTGTCAGTGGCTCCACTCCCAGCAGGTGGCCAAACTATTGCAAGAAACGTCTGTCTGTATCCTCTGCACAGGGCTGACAAGTGGGGTACCTGCTGAGGAAGTGTTGATAGGATAAACGAATGTACAGTGAGTGACTGGCTTCATGGGCCACCTCCCTTCCTGAACCCAGTTTTTACTTATTTCACTTTTTTTTTTTTTTTGAGACAGAGTCTCACTCTGTCACCCAGGCTGGAGTGCAAGGGCTCAACCTTGGCTCACTGCAACCTCTGCCTCCTGGGTTCAGGCGATTCTCCAGTCTCAACCTCCCGAGTAGCTGGGATTACAGTTGCTTGCCACCACACCCGGCTAATTTTTGTATTTTTAGTGGAGACGAGGTTTCGCCATGTGGGCCAGGCTGGTCTCGAATTCCTGACCTCAGGTGATCCGCCCTCCTCAGACTCCCAGAGTGCTGGGATTACAGGTGTGAGCCACCACGCCCAGCACTTCATTTCACTTTTGTTATATTCTGCAAATATTTGGTGAGCAAGGTTCTCTACTAGGTAGTCCACCCTGGACCCCTGAGCATCTTCACCCCCCACATCTAATCAGACGAATGAGACTGCCTTGCCCTGAAGGAAGGCACAGCCTGGTGCCAGGGCTGGAAGAATAACTGGGCCAGGCAAGGAGTACTCTGAGGGGAGCAGCATCTCAACTGTGCTGTCCCCTCCCAGGTTCCCCATTCCCCGAAACGTGTATGTCTATCCAATGGCCTTTGCAAAGATGTCATTAGATATTGTTTTAAGAGGGAAAATATAGTTCTGGACCAGATTCGATTGAGATCCACATCCTAGCCCTTTCAGGGTAGTTAAAAGGAAAAGGAAGGACCTGGGGAAGCTGGGCCACATGCACTACAATGACCGTCACCCACCCTTTGGGTGGGAGACACCAAGAGTGGGGACAATAGGCCTGAATTCCCCCCCAGCCCCCCATGACATGTGGGTGTAGCTCTCTTTTGAGGCTGGGCTCTGGCTCCATCTGGAACCCCCTGTGCCACACTGGGAGGAGCTGAGCCTCCCCAAGTCCATTTAACAGGAGACAGCAGGGCTGCTGGATGGGGCAGTGACTCACCAGCTTCACACAGTGGGACCTGCAGGGCTAGCCCACCCCTTCCTTATGTGACATTCAGCCGCTGGTGCCTTTTCTATTCCTAGTTCTGAGATGCTGAGGCATCCATTTACGAGGCTACAGAGAAGGGGACTGAGGGACCCTACTTTGACCTGTCATAAAGCTGCCTGTCCCTACCCCCAGGCCTGTCTACCATGGCCCAGGGGCATCAGCAGAGCCTGACATTTGCTGGGTACCTGTTCTGTCCTGGGCACTTAAAGCTATACAGATACTTTCTAAAGAAACAAAATCAATTAATATAAGATCCTAAAAGGAAAGTGGGGAAATGGAGAAAAATAGGAAACAAAAAAGCACCTTCAGTCTCATCCCACAACTGCTAGTGTTTCACTGTGTTTGCATAAGAGCGTCTTACATAGGTGCAAGCATATTATGTA